GGCGGAGGGGCGCGGTTCCCAGCTCCGGGTGGGAGCCGGCCCGGTTTTCTCGGGCGCCTCGGTGCCCTGCCCCGGGACGGGTTGTTGGGGAGGTTTCGAACCGGAGCGTGGCCTGCCCTTCGCCCCCATGGAGGTGAAGCGCCTGGTGTTTCCGCCGTGGAACGCTCTGCCGCCTCCTCGCTCGGCTTCGGTACTTGTCGGACGGTCTGTAGTTACTTTGCCGACTGGTTTGCCCTCCTGCGAACTCCTGGGAGCCAGGGGCTCTGTCTCGGCCGTCTCCGCGCCTTCCTCTCTCAGAGGCTGTACCTGTTCGCCTGTAGCGTGTGTGGTGGGTCCCCCGGGGAACATTTTGAGGGGGGGGGCTGTGGGCCTTCGCTGCACCCCTAACAAATACCTGCGTGCCTGCCCAGCGGGGGACGGAACCCAGCACCTGAGGCGAGGCGAGGGGTTTCTGTGCAATAAACGCGGACATTGGCCGCTTCGCGGGTCTGTCTTCACTCGGCCGAGTCCTGGAGCCGGAGGATCTGTTAGTCATTCGTCCCAAAGGAAAGGGTAACAGCCCCCCACGGTAGTTCCCTGTGGTTCTCGAGGTGATCGCTACTGGGAGCGTCAGAACTGGAGAGAACGCTTCGGGTTGCAGGTGTTTTACCAGAAAACTAGAGACAGAAAACCCCTAGTTAATGTTTAATTGATTGAACCGGTACAAGCTGCTCCAGGTCCTCTGCAGAAATAAATACCACAGTCCTCCCTCCCAGCGTTTTGTGATGTAGCGATAAGTGATAGAAGTTCTCTGGCCCATCGTGCAAGGGAAGAAGGGGGGTCTTGAGCATCACTGAATTGAAAGGGACTGAAAGCCAAAACGAATTCCTATGCTTCCTCTGGGTTTCTATAAAGTCAGTTAAAACCTGTAAGCAACAAAGTCAGGGCATGGTGTGGTGTTCACAGGTCAGTGTAAAACAAAAAAGTCTCTGTGTTTCCTATCTTTGGCCCCTCCCAGTTGTAACTTGCAGTGATTTTTGTCACGGTGTTTATTTTAGCCACATCTATTCCATATTTGGGATGTGACTTGTTGAAGTTGCTAAGCAACAGCCTGCTCTGCCCTGGGTGGAAGGAAATTCCTGGATGGTAGGAGATTGGAGAGATAAAAGATAACACCTGAACTGAGAAGGGTGATGCTGTCCTGGCTGCTGTGCCTGTCTCTAAGCCTCCGTGTACCTGTTAGCAAACAGTTTGGTACCTTACAGCCTTAGGGGTGTTTAATCCAGGTGGACATGGCAGCCTTCCATTGCAGCAGCCACGTGGAACTCAGTGTAGAGAAGACTCCTCAGAGCGCTCAGCTCAGGGCTCTCAGTTCTGTCTGCTGAAATAGCCCAGAGGTCTGTCCACTTTGTTGTTGACAGCTCTCCAACCTGAACGGAAAGCTGACGGCTTATCAGATAGAGTCTTCACTTAAATGGCAGCTCCTCTATCTCTACATCTTATCTCCAAGAGCTCATCTTGAAAATAAGAGAAGCAATTTCATTTTATAAAATAGTCTGTGGGTAATTGTCCCTTAGGTACTGGAATGAATTCTTATCTGGAATATGCCAACGCAAGAATGTTTCATCATTTCTGTAGTTCCTGGGAGTGATGCTGGATACCTTTTTCAAACTTGCTGCTTTTTAGACATGACTCCTGACTCTAGTTGTAAACTATTCAGGAGGTCTTGCTGGTCAGATATTTGCTGCTCTTTATACTTAGTTTCAAATTACTTTCCCTGGCCTCCCATTTTTAACCCTTTCATTGAGATGCACATACAAGCCCTGGTGGTTAGCTCACTTGATTGAAGAATCATCCTGATACCCCAAAGTTGGGAGTTCGATCCCCCCCCTCCACCCCAAATCAGGGCACATACAAGAATTAACCAATGAATGCATAAATAAGGATAAGGGAACATCAAATCAGTGTTTATCTCATTCTCCCCCTCTCCCTTTCTCCCACCCTCTTCTCTCTCTCTCTCTCTCTCTCTCTCTCTCTCATCAATTAAAAAGAAATATACAGCCCTAGCCAGTTTGGCTCAATGGATAGAGCTTCAACCTGCGAACTGAAAGGTCCCAGGTTCAATTCCAGTCAAGGGCACATGCCAGGGTTGTGGGCTCGATCCCCCTTGGGGGACTTGCAGGAGGCAGCTGATTCACCATGATTCTCTCTCTTCATGGATGTTTCTATCTCTCCCTCCCTCTTCCTTCCTCTCTGAATTCAATAAAAATATATTTTAAAAAAAAAGAAATATACATACAGAAAAGTACATTGCTTGATGACTGGTCATGAACTACCTGTTTAACTATTACCACAAAAGACCCCTCAGGTTCTTTATCAGACAAGCCCTCTCTATTTAAAATACTGATTTTCTGGTAGGAGATCATTAGCAGTCATTTTGGGGGGAAGGGGTAAGCAGGGGATTCTTAGATTTTGCTTTATATTGCATGTGAATTCTTATTTTGTGTTCATAGTAAAACAAAAAGATTAAAAAAGAGCGTGCCCTTCACTTAAAAAAAGGAGGAATGTTCTTTTTAAACCTTTTTTAAAGTGGTTGTCTTAAAACATAAATATTTTTTAAAGTTAAATTTTATGAAGTCATTAAAATTTCTTTTTTAATGACTACACAGGAACTCTTTAAAATATTTGTACAAGTCTGTTCGGTGTTCTTATCCACAACCACCCCTCTTTGCTTCATTACAGCTTTGAATCTGTTTATTTTTGGCATCGGTGCACAAAATGTCATGTTATTCCAATGGTATGGGGTTTTAAAAGTTGGCACTAAGTGTATTTTGGGACAATATGGGTAATTATTCTACTTATAATTTGAAGAGACAGTATAAAATTTCCAAGTTATTACTAGTTAAAAACAACCCATGAGATTGTTTTAATATAAAAATATGTTCACAAGTTTTACATTACCACATGAAAAAAATTTTTTTTCTTATACTAAAAACCCAAACTCATTGTAAGAAAACAGAAGTTAGTTTAAGTGGCATAGAACACAGACATCTGCCATCACCCCAGAGGCAAATGCTGACAGGAGGTTGAATTACTTTTCAAAAATCATTTTTGGTATAGAAATCTACCTCACGATCCTGTTTTAATGTATACCAGATTTGACCGATTTTTTTTTTTTTATATTTAACTCTGAAGGATCTTAAATGTAAACACAGAGAAGCAGAGATTAAAAATCATGATGAAACCCAGCAGAATGAGATGGAAAAGGTGAAGAAAGGCAGAGGGCTGATATGCTGGAGGGGCACCAGCCAGGGGCCGGACAGGGTTTCTGAAACCGGATTCCCCTGTTGCTGTACTTTTTCCTTTCAAACTGAGTAGCTGCTTGTCCATTTCACCCACTCCTCCCCCCAAACAATGTTAGGGTTGCTTGTAGCCATTGAAGTTCTCTGTGGGAGAACCAATTTGCTCTTGATTTTGAGCCCTAGGCGGGGTGCATTCTTGGGTATTTTACTACCCTTTGATTCCCACCCCACAAAAATGTAGTCATTACAGGTGATTTTATTATTGTTTCATTTGTTTTGTTTTTTACACCAAACCAGTTGGCTAACTGAACTGGGAATTATATTCTAGGCATGCCCTCTCAGACGGCCTTCTATCAAGATCCCAGCTTAAAAAGCCACCAGGCAGCCCTGGCCGGCGCTGCTCAGTGGTTAGAGTGCCGGCCTGTGCATTCAAGGGTCTTGGGCTTGATTCTCGGATTCGATTTCCATTCAAGAGCACGTACCTCAGTTGCAGGTTTGATCCCTGGCCCTGGTCAGGCATGTGCAGCAGGCAACCAATTGATGTCTCTCTCCCACATCAATGTTTCCCTCCCACCCCCCACCCACCCCCAAATCCCTTCCACTGGTTCTAAAAAAAAATCAATGGAAAAAATACTCTGGGGAGGATAAACGAAAGAAGAAAAACCTCCAGGCAAAGGCACTTCTTGACCAGGCCATCCTTACTGCCCATCCAGGCCATGCCCCACTTGTCACCTGCTTTTACTCTGGCTGTGTCTTCCCATGTGACTGTGTGAGCTGGCAGCGCAGGCTCATCTGTGCCCTCATTTTCTGTTCCAGGAAGATGACTCTGCTGATCTTTCAGGTGAGGGGACCACGGGGTCCGTTTGGTCTTGGCTTCATGTCTCTGGCCCCCAGTTCAGACCCTCCTGGGTCCTGTTCTCATCACTGCTCTTCCTCTTCGTCCTGTCTCTCTCTCAACCTGAACTGTCTTCTCTAGTTCTGACACTGACCTAATGGGGCCACAAAAGGCAAACAGTCCTTGGGCGGCACACCACAATCCAATCCTTCTCCCAATAGAAACTTGTCGGCTGCTCTGGTGTACGTCCTTAGGACAAGGAGAGGATTCTCTCAGACTGCTGTGCCCAAGGTTAGCCCAAATGCCTTCTGAAGGAGCATCGGGGTTTGCAAGTGGTACACATGCACAGTGGCCCAAAAGCCTGTCCTTCACGTTGGGTCATTTTACTGTGAACATGAAGTAAAAAAGAAAAATGGTAAAATAAAATTTTAAACAAAATAAGATCTAGCTCATCTTGGACACAATGGAAAGCTAAAAAGCATCGCTCCAAAATGCACAATGCCCCAAACAGCATGGAGGCTTCTGTCATGCTGAAAGGATGCTCAGGTCTGGAAACTTGCCTTCCTACGAAGTCGAAAAAGCCATGTTTGTTGGAGCCACATCTTTGGGAGACTTTGATGGAAGTCTCCTATTAAGTAAAATTAAAGGCTTCCTTCTCAGTTGACATTTTGAGTGAAGAGATACCACTAAGCATAAAAATGGTCAGTGTCGTTTGTAGAGACAGAAAGTGGAATGGTGGTTGCTGGAGGCTGGAACAGGAGGAACAGGGAGTTAGAGTTCAGTTTGGGAAGATGAAAAAGTTCTGAAGATGATAGTCATTGGTGACCATCAGTTGGTGATGGTTGCACAACAATGTGAATACCACTGATCTGTGCACTTTAAAGTGGTTGAAATGATACAATTTATGTATATTTTACCACACTTTAAAAAAAGATAAAGAATGTTGCAACATTTGACAGTTTTCTTTTTTTTAGTAGGACTGCTTGGGTTTTAGGTGCAGTTTGGGGGAAATGCAAGGGGATTGATCTGCCTTTTTCCTTGTGGCTCAGGTTGGAGAACATCCCTCCCACACAGTTGTATTAACCCCTCTACACAGCCCAGTTGCCAGCACTATTGTGTTCACTAATGTGCTGTTTGCCATGGAAGTACTTGAGCAAAAGAAGTGGCTTCTGTGAGTATTTTGGTAATGGTGCAGGAAAGCACACACCCTGGTCCCCCAATATACCCCTCTATCCTGTATAATCAGAGATTTCTGATATGCTTAGTGCTGCAACTACAGCATCTAGAGCAGCGGTTCTCAACCTGTGGGTCGCGACTCCTTTGGCGGTCAAACGACCCTTTCACAGGGGTCACCTAAGACCATCCTGCATTATCAGATATTTACATTACGATTCATAACAGTAGCAACATTACAGTTATGAAGTAGCAACGAAAATAATTCTATGGTTGGGTCACAACATGAGGAACTGTATTTAAAGGGTCAGAAGGTTGAGAACCACTGATCTAGAGCAATGCCTGGATTTTCAACACAATTTTGGTAAATAAGAGACTAAATGAATTCTCAGTATGAAATTTAGGGGATGATAGAAACTTTAGCCCAAAGGAAAGAATGGTCTGGGACTGGGACCACACTGGAACCACCTGTTATTGTCTTTTTAAAGTTGAGGTATATCATGAATATACGGGCTTCCTTCTAAGCACGATGGCTTGAGTTTTAAGAGGGAGGCTTTTGGAACTAGAGTGCTGGGTGTTTGTTTCTTGTCACCCTGTAAATTAATCATGTTCCTCCTACACTGAAGTTTTGGAAGGAACCCAGGCTTCCTTGGAGACAGCTTGCTGCCCCCACCGGCAGCTGCTCCTTTGAGCAGACCAACTATGAAGAGTGCTCAGTTTCCCCTCACTCTCTCCTTTTAGCCATTTTACTGATGAGCAAGGCAGTGTCCTATGCCCATCACTGGTTTATTTTTCCTTTTCTCCCCTCTCTATCCTAAATACAAGAGCTTGGAGTTTATTGTTGGATTGTCCAAGTCAATAAACCTGGCGTCTGCAGAATTTCACATTCCCCAAGGGCCTGGTGGTTTTTAATACTTGTGCTATGGAAGAGTGCTAATCTTCCTCTGTGCTTCACTTGAGAAGAAGCCTGGAGTGCCAGGGAAGGACCAGGGTGGTGCTTTGACATAGGGTGAAGGGAGTCAGGAGCTCAAGAGGAGCCATCTGAGGTGTGAGCTATAGAGTCAGGGGAGGCAGTTCCTAAGGGAGGGCTGCTGGATTTCGGAGAGGGGAAGCTGTTGGTTTGTCACCAGTGGTATGTTGGAGCAGAAGGGGGCTGGGTGCAGGAATAAAGCAAGAAGGTGGCAGCAAATGTGGTGTTTAGGTAGTTAGACTGAAGGAAAAGAAGGTGACAGGAGACTTGTCCAAAAGAGGGTATACATGGTGTGTTTACAGTCCATTGGAAGGGAGTTTGGGCAAAAGAGAAGGTTGAAAATGTTGGAGAAAGGGGGTGCTTGAGTCGGGGAGGGAGGAGACAGGAGCTGGACCAAGGACTGGAGTGGCCATCTCATTTGTCTTCCAGAGAAAGATAAGAAAGCTGAAGCATGGAGCAGGACAGAGATGTCTCAGTGGACATCAGAGCTGGGATTTGACCCTGGGTCATTGTGACTCCAGCATCCCTGCAGAGTCTGAGAGCACATGGAGGGCACAGCATCCAGAGCATAAGTGGAGATTGGGCTAGTCTTGGCAAGGAGGGAGGACGCTTTGGAACCTATGGAAGTAAGAGAAGAGAAGGAAAGGGGAAGGTTCTAGGGGTGATGAAGGGTGTAGTGTGGTCATGGCTGGCCTTTAAATCTGCTGAGGTCAGGGGTAGGGTCCACAGCACTTCTTAAGCCATTAAGAGGAAAGGTTGGTTTTAAAAAGTTAAGTGTGGTTTGTCTGGGATCCAGAAGCATTGCTTTTGAACAAGGGAGAGGCCCTGTGGACCTCTGGTGTCAGGATAGTCTGCAAATAGGATTGTTTCTGGCTTTATTACTTGAGGGGGAGTAGAGGGCCCTGTGGGTATCATGACAATGCCAGGAAACCCCTCCATAACCTGGAGCAATTCCATTCTGAGCTCCCAAATTCTGAATCCCCAGCACTTGGCAGGGAGATGGAAAATGCTCCTGTGGCTATTGGGGGCATCTTGGCAGCCATTCCTCCACTTTCACTCTGGCTGAGCATACAGAGGTGCTCAGGAAGTGTTGTGGGTGAGGGAATGCCCAGATATCCAGACCCCACCCCCTTGCAGCCACCACTGAGTCCTCAGGAAAAAGTAGCCTTAGGTTCAGGGACCAGAAAGGTCATTTCAGCACTGAAGGAAGACAAGGCTTGCACACAGCCTCAGGAGGATGAGATTTGGGGAAGGGGAAAGGATGGGCTGAGGGGTGAGCCAGCCGGTCCTTCATTTGGTTCTTGGAGAATCTAGTTTTTGCTCCTTGAATTGCTCCACTCATCCATCCCCTAAAGGCCAAGGACATGATGTAGACCCAAGAAACCCCTGGAAGAATTCCCACTACAAGCCTGACCTTTGCACTTCATGTTTCTACTTAAAAACTCAAGTGGCCCAGGCTGGGTAGCTCAGTTGGTTAGAGTGTCATCTGGGTATGCCAAGGTTGTGGGTTCAATCCTGGTCAGATAACATACAAGTATAAACCAGTAAGCCCTGGCTGGTGGGACAGTTGGTTAGAGCATCATCCCCCGCTATGCCAAAAGATTGTGGATTCAATTCTCAGGGTACATACCTAGGGGTCAGGGTGCGTAAGGGAGGCAACTCATCCAAGTTTCTCATATTGATGTTTCTCTCTCTCTAAAAAATCAATAAAAAAAATATCCTCAGGTGAGGATTAAAATAATTAAAAAAAAAAAAAAGAATAGCCCTAGCTGGGTTGGCTCAGTGGATTGAGTGTCGACCTGCAGATTGAAGGGTCCCCAGTTCGATTCCAGTCAAAGGCACATGCCCGGTTGCAGGCTCAATCCCCAGTAGGGGGCTAGCAGGAGGCAGCCAATCGATGATTCTCTCTCATCTTTGATGTTCCTATCTCTTCCTGTCTGAAATCAATAAAAAAATATATTAAAAAAAGAATAAACCAATGAATGTATAAGTGAAACAAGAAATCAATGTTTCTCTCTCCCCCCTCTTTCTCTCTCTAAAATAAATTTTCAAAAACCTCAAGTGAACTTAGAATTCTCCTGTACAATGCGTCCCTACTGTTGTAATATAGACATGCTAGTGTCTGTAGGAAAATGTATACCAAGCGATGGCCTGTGCATCTGTGGCTTCAGTGCTGTCCCATCAGCACCCTAGGGCTCAGGCTGGAATAGAGGGCCTAACACCTGGCCTCTGCTCTGGCTTCATCCACTGTCACCTGTTTCTAGCAAATCTCAGAATCCGTGTTCCTTGGCCCTAATGGTAGCAATAAGAGATCAGTAGTTGGTGGAAGCTTCACGATGGACAAGTGGAGTCCCCACAGGTGCTGCATAAGGGTTTCCTGACTTGCTCCTCCAGCGGTAAACTAGCCACTTGCTATACCCACCTCCCACCTGCACCGCCACCATCTCTAAATTTGCCTCCTCTGACTCCATTTCTTCCTTTCACTGGCAAACAGGTGCCAGATTCTCCTCCTGTGCCTTCCTGCCACCTTCTCTACCCACTGTCAGTGGGGCTGGGACAGATTAGGCACTGTAATATCCAGCTTTCTCCCTTAGTTAAATGTGACATGTTTCTATTTTTAAATCAAGGCATCTAAAGAACTGGCCTTTGAAAACATGGAAGTGCTTTTAATAGGGATGTGAGAATCCACAAATAGCTGTGTTTCTTGGAGCCCAGTATTTTTGTTGAACGCTGAACAGGGAGAGAACAAGAGCTTTCCCCAAGGATGCTAGGGGGAAAGTTTGTAAACCTCAGGGCATAAGAGATGCTCATTTATTATGGATCTCTTCCTTTGCTATCAAACTTCACTGTAAAGTGGTTTTTAATCTTTTAAAATCAACTTTATTAAAGTTTAACATACATATAAGAAAATGTACCCAATGAGTTTTAATGTGTGCATATATGTTTGTGTGTGTAAACACTGCCAACAAGATACAGAACAGTTCCAC